CCCAGAGTTCCTTAATCAGAAACTTTAAGACTTGTGGACTTCAACTCCTAGAGTTCCCCAGCCAGCAACTTTAAGACTTGTGGACTTCAACTCCCAGAGTTCCTTAATCAGAAACTTTAAGACTTGTGGACTTCAACTCCTAGAGTTCCCCAGCCAGCAACTTTAAGACTTGTGGACTTCAACTCCCAGAGTTCCTTAATCAGAAACTTTAAGACTTGTGGACTTCAACTCCTAGAGTTCCCCAGCCAGCAACTTTAAGACTTGTGGACTTCAACTCCCAGAGTTCCCCAACCAACAACTTTAAGACTTGTGGACTTCAACTCCCAGAGTTCTTCAGCCAGCAGCTTTAAGACTTGTGGACTTCAACTCCCAGAGTTCTCTAGCCAGGAACTCTGAGAGTTGAAATTCACAAGTCTTAAAATTGCCAACTTTGGAGACTCCTGATTCGAAGTTACAATGGCACCGTAAAAGGTTACTTACAATTACAACTTCAGTCTTGACATGTACATCCAACGCAGCATCCCCGTAGACATGTGATCAAAATCATTCGGGTGCTTGGCAACTGGCCTGTATTTACAATGGCGGTAGCATCCCATGATCCCATGTTTGCTATGTGGGATCTGTGGCAAGAAAAATCATTTAATGGGGCAACGTGCACTCGACCAATGTTTCCCTTAGCAACAGAAATGTGGGGTTCCATGGTCGTATGTTGAGGATTACCTGTACTTCTAAAGCGCTGTTCTGACCTAGGCTTCCCAAAAGCATGAAGCTGACTCCTTGTCCCAATAAAACCCCTTTTATTTAGTTTTAAAGTGAATTCCTCTCCAGCAAATCCTGGCAAACAGTCTTTCAAGAGATTTCACAACTACAGACCTTCATCAGGCTTGGAGAGCTGCCAGGCCGATATCTTCCAAATGCTGCACTGTAGCAACAATTACTTGGCAAGAAGTCAGGAACAGATCTTCACCCTAAGGAATTGAAGGAATTGTCTCCTGCAAACTCCACTCCCCTTTCGCTCCTCTTTATTCCCTATGGCAGGGGCCACCTGTGCCTTTACGCCTGAGTCGACCCGTTATTTAGCTGTTCCCTTCATCTGGCAACTCTGCACACTGGGAACAGGCTCCAGCTGTTCTTCTGCCCCACTGATGTCCAATTCTGAAGGCAGCTGATAACTGTCAGACAGCTCTGGCCCCATCTCTTATTCCCATGCTGACAATTTCATGACCATTTCCAATTTAGCTGACCTAAATTGGTGAATTTAGGTCAAAAAAGTAAGGTTCTACATTTAGGCAAGAAAAACGAAATGCACAGGTACAGTATAGGTGGTGCCTTGCTCAATAGTAGTAACTGTGAAAGGGATCTTGGAGTCCTAGTGGACAACCATTTAAATAGGAGCCAGCCGTGTGCAGCAGCTACCAAAAAAGCCAACACAGTTCTAGGCTACATAAACAGGGATAGAATCAAGATCACGTGAAATGTTCATACCACTTCATAATGCCTTGGTAAGGCCACACTTGGAATACTGCATTCAGTTTTGGTCACCACGATGTAGAAAAGATGTGGAGACTGTAGAAAGAGTGCAGAGAAGAGCAACAAAGATGATTAGTGGATTGGAGACTAAAACATATGAAGAACAGTTGCAGGAACTGGGTATGTCTAGTTTAATGAAAAGAAGGACTAGGGGAGACGTGATAGCAGTCTTCCAATATCTCAGGGGCTGCCACAAAGAAGAGGGAGTCAAACTATTCTCCAAAGCACCTGAGGGCCGAACAAGAAGCAATGGGTGGAAACTAATCAAGGAGAGAAGCAACTTAGAACTGAGGAAAAATTTCCTGACAGTGAGAACAATTAATCAGTGGAACAACTTGCCTCCAGAGGTTGTGAATGCCCCAACACTGGAAGTCTTTAAGAAGATGTTGGATAGCCATTTGTCTGAAGTGGTGTAGGGTTTCCTGCCTAGGCAGGGGGTTGTACTAGAAGACCTCCAAGGTCCTTTCCAACTCTGCTATTGTATTTTATTGTATTGTATTGACCTACCCAAAGTCAGATGAAGTTATAATGGTCCGTGTCAAATAATATTTATTTAAAATGAAGTGTCTTTCTTTTAGGTATCTTTGATAGATAGTTTTGAATCCGATGGAAAACTCCCGACAAACACCAATCTTTCCAAGCCCAGCTGCCTGGACAGCAGTTCCGTGGACCACGAGGGTTACTACCTGTGTGATGAGGAAGCCCTTTTAAAAGAATCCAGTGCTTCCACTGGCTATTATCCCTGCTATCGAACCTATGTGGAGTTCCCCCGGTACCAGCCTTCCAACACGAGCAACCCCAGCCAGATGAAAGGACGTCCATGCGATGCCAGTGTCCAATGCGACAGGTGTCTGGAGGAAGAAACTATCGGCAGGGAGAAAAGAGGAGCGGAACTAAATAATAACATGAAAGAGCTTAAGGTATTATCAGTGGCTCTCCAGGATTCTCCCCACCGCCAACCAACCGGGGGCTCCAGGCCTGGATCTGGTGGGAGAAAGCTGGAAGGGCCTGGAGGGAGGCGTTTGAGGCCATCCAGCAGTGACCAAGAGTCAGGGAGCGCTCGGAAGGAGCAAGAGGGAACTCTGAAACCCCGCACCCCAGGGAGCTCCCCCTACAAGTCGAGTGCAAGGCTCAAAACCTCCAAAGAGCCACCAGCCTCACTACCACGGAACAACCTCCTGCTGCCCACGGCCAACCTCAGCAGGAAATCTCCCCAGAAACGGAAGCACAGAAGCAGCCAAGCAGATGAGAAGGAGCAGGCCACCGTCATGGAACTAAAGCCGCTGCTCCAGGACCAGCGCTCGCTGCCCCCGAGTCCAGAGGCCAAGGCAGGATCTCTCGGGATCCACTGCTATCGCAGAGAACAAGTGAGGGAGGACAACCAGGTCTGTATGAACCCCATGCAGAGACTCTGGAAGGGGTCTAGCAGGTTTAATTGGTTCACCGACAAAAGGGCGAACGACAAACGCGCCCGACTAAACCACGGTGACAAAACCGTGTGTTCTAAAGCGCTCCGACGAATGAGCGCTGAATCGCACTGACAACAGCGCGGCGACAGAAGCACGCTGTAAAACTAAACCTAACCCTAAACCTAAACCTAACCCTAAACGTAACACTAAACCTAACCCTAACCCTAAACGTAACACTAAACCTAACCCTAACCCTAAACCTAACCCTAACCCTTACCTTAAATTAAATCGCCCTTCTGCCGACACGCTGTTGTAAATCGCCCTTCTGTTGACGTGCTGTTGTCAACGCGCTGTTGTCGGCACGTTGATGACGTCACGGTTTTAGCGACGTGGTTTAGTCGGGTGTGGTTTTGTCATTCGCCCTTTTGTCAGGTCACGGGTTTAATTGATGCCTGGCATCAGGGGTGGGCTTCAAAAATCGTAGCAGGCAGGAGGTGCCCTGCCCGGTTGCTGGGTGGGCGTAGTCTAATCAGCCTCCTGCACCGCGGGGAGGGTGGTTGCCTTCAAAGGCTTTCCTCGAGCCTCCGGGAAGGCAAAAACAGCCTCTCCAGGCACCAGAGGCCCTCTGGAGGCTGGAAACGGGCCCGTTTCCAGCCTTCCTGAATTTCCTGTAGGCCTGTTTTTCGCCTTCCCCGAGCCTCCGTGTTCCCCCTGCACTTAACTGCATCCAAAATGGGCTGCGTGGGGACTCCTGGGAGGGGTGGGGTGGGCGGAGCCAGCCAGGAGTGGGATTTGGGGTTCTCCGAACTGCACAGAATCTTAGCTAGAGGTTCTCCTGAATCCCTGCAAACCCCCACCAGCCCACTCCTGCCTGGGAGTNTTCCAGAGGGCCGGAGCAGCCACAGAGAAGGCCCTCCCCCAGGGAGTTGCCAGCCAACATTGGCCGGCAGATGGAATTCGGAGGAGGCCTAGTCTGTGGGATCTAATAGGTCTTTGGGAAGTGATTGGCAGGAGACGGTCTCTCAAGTAACCAGGTCCGATACCAGATACCCATCCGGAACCCATCACTGTTGCATGTGTGTATGCCGGAGCACTGGAAACCCAAAGATCAGCTGGCTGGTGCACAAATGTCTGGTTTTTAACCGTTTTTGGACTATTTTCAGGCTGTTGTTTAGGCTGTTGTTCAGGCTGGAAAATGGTCTGGTTTTTGGCTGTTTTCAGGCCATTTTCCAGTACACCAGCTGGCCAGTGTAGATTCATGTGCCGGAAGCCAGAAGAGCAGCTGGCAACGGCGCACGTTCCACAGAGAGGGCTTTGTGTGCCACTTATGGGCCATAGGTTCACCATCATGGCCCTATACCATTTCAGGCAAATAGTTATCCAATATCATGACTACTACTACAAATTCTACACAGGGCTGCCTTTGAAGATGGTACCGGTTGCAGCGGGCCAGTGGTGGGATTCAAATAATTTAACAACTGGTTCTCTGCCCTAACGACCAGCTGGGTAGGCGTGCCTCAGTGGTCATATGACCAGGTGGCCGTGGCCAACTCAACATCACTCACGTTGATAGGCACATCTCCTTAGCTGTTACAATATAAGAGGGGTTAACCAGAGATGCAGTTTCTGTAAGCAGAGCAGTAAAGATTAGGCTAGAAACAACCCCGGAACGTTTCCTTCCTGCCTTCCTTACAGGATTAGCTCTGAAAAGTGAAAAAAATATAAGGAGATTTCTTCCAACAACCGGTTCTCCGAACTGCTTAGAAAGTTAACAGCCAGTTCTCCCGAATAGGTGCGAACTGGCTGAATCCCGCTACTGCAGTGGGCATATTGCCAATGTGTGTTTGCTGTTTTATGATTGCTAGCTTGGTTACCAGCAGGGTTTTGACTTTTGAGCCCTTTTGTCACCTCGGCTGGTCCTCCTCGACTTACGAGCATAATTGAGTCCAAATTTTCTATTGTTAAGTGAGACATTTGTTAAGTGAGTTCTGCCCCCCACACACACACATTTTACAAACTTTCTTGCCATAGTTGTTAATCACTGCAATTGTTAAGTTAGTAATACAGTTGTGAAATGAACCTGGCTTCCCCTTTGACTTGCTTATCAGAAAGTCGCACGAAAGGGGAATTACATGATCTCAGCACACAGCAAAAGTCATAAATATGAGTCAGTTGCCAAGCGTCTGAAATTTGGTCACGTAACCAGGGGATGTTGCAATGGTCATAAAGAGGGGGGGGAACGGTCATAAATCACTTTTTCAGTGCTGTTGTAACTTCAAACAGGTACCAAAACAACAGAATTAAAAAGGAGAAAAAAAATTGGAAAGAAAAAATATAGAAATTTCAAGATCAAAAGGAAAAACTAGGTAAATGGGTGGAGAGAAGAGAATATAAGAGAAATGAAGTTCCTGAGAGACTAAGAGAAAATGGTTGAAAGGAGGAAAGAAAGACAAGGAATTGCGAGTAGAATAGAATGAAATTTGGTAAATTTAGCCAATGGTATATATTTAATACGATGTGAGGGAAATAGATTAATATTATTACTTGTGGATAACCAATTAAATGAAATGTTTACTATATAAAATTAAATTTGAGGATATGTGTTAGTAATAGTCAAACAGGATAAGAGATGGAAATGATACGTTAAATTTGATTAATTTGGAGAGGCAAATAATGATATTAACATATTAAGAAGAAATTAAAATTAAGCAGGAGAACATGGAATGAAAATAAGAGGACTGGAATGTAAAATGAAAATATGATGTAAAACTAACTATGCATAATAGAAGATGTAAAGGGGGGAGAACCCGGACAGTACTTTGTTTATAAAATAAGTTAAAATATGTAACCCCAAAAAAGTAACTTTCAACAGTCACTAAACAAACTGTTGTAAATCAAGGACTTCCTGTCAACACCTATATAACGCAGGGCCAGGCTACATCAGATATCACCTTGCACAAATGTTACTGCCCGCTCTGTAAGTGCAGTGAAGGAAGGTTTGCTGAAGGTCCCATCAATTCAAGATGTGAAAGTGGGTATGGCCAGAAATTTGTACTCCAAGATGCTGTAGTTGCCTCTTAGGCTGTTCTCTTCCTATTTGGCACTCCAGAAATCTCAGAAGATTCTTCTTTTTCACCTGTGTTTTAGCTGAACTGATAATTTCTGGTGATCAGGGTTTTTTTGATTTTATAGTGTAGTAGCTGATAGCTGCCGAGTATTTATTTATCCCAACCCTCCTTCCATGAACCTTGCCGCAATTTCTAATGTTGGATTTTCCCCCTTGCCAGAGGGAGCCCCCTTGTGGAGTACTGTGAAGCTGATACCATGGCAACTCCACAGCGCTGTACAGTAGAAGCCATTTTAAGGCAGTACGGTAGAATCCATTTTAAAGCACAACAGGTTGTATCTTAANACCGAGGTGCACCCACAATCGCTCGCGCGGCTGCATTCTGGACAAGCTGAAGTCTCCAAATGCTCTTCAAGGGCTGCCCCATGTAGAGCGCATTGTATTCTGAGGATGTGTCCCCAGCCAGTTCATCTGGGCTCTCAATGCCAGTTGACACCACACAATCCAGGTTGGCGACATCATGGCCTTGCCAAGAAATGCCAAGGACGGAGCAGAAGACCTATTTGTGATTTTAATGGACAGGTGTTGAAAGTGGCTTTTCCATTGTCGTGCAGGTCCAACCTACAAAAGAAAAAAACAGCCCCAGTCCTCGGCAGCTTCCTTCTGCTGTGGGCCCCACCATAGCAGCTGACCCTCCCCCGGATTCTGCGAAGCCCCACACTGCCTCCTCCCGCCTCAGCTTCCACACCATCGTCTCCTGGGTCTGGAAGATCTTCAGGAAACCACCATCGGCACAGCCGCAGCCTAGTACCAGTGATGAAACGGAAATGGGAGGCAGCGAACAGTCGCTAACCTCTCGGCTAAGACTGTGGCTTACTCAACGCAGCAGCCGCATTCACCCCAGGCCGCCGTGATATTGGTCACCCATCTCTGGGGAGAGTCAGGAGACAGCTCCTTGGGGGATGTGAAATATTTTTCAGAAACTGATGGTTTCCATTAAAAACTTCTGCTTTCCTCTTTTGTGCCAAAAAGAGAGAGGGAGAGTGGAAAAAAGAAAGAGTGGAATATATATATATATAATTTGCTGTCACTGTGAAGGCACTGAAGATTGGGTATTTGGTGGGGTGTCCTGGCTACTTAATTATTACGCTGCCCCACAAGTCAAGGAGGCTATAGCAGGGGTCTCCAACCTTGTGGACTTCAACTCCCAGAGTTCCTCAGCCAGCTTTTGGTGTGAGGAATTCTGGGAGTTGAAGTCCACAAGTCTTAAAGTTGCCAAGGTTGGAGACCCCTGGGCTATAGCAATCTCAAAGTTGCTTTTTCAAAAGGCAACTGAATTGTTGTTGTTTTTCCCCCAAGAAGCTTCATTGGAAGCTCATTAGAGGTTCCTCAAGGAAAAAAAACCAGTTCAATTGCTTTTTGAAAAAGCACCTTTGAGACAACTATGGTCTGGATTGATTAAGAATTTCCACAGACTAAAGTAATGTTTTGCAACGTCAGCAAGTTTAAGATGCATAGAGTTCAACTCCCAGAATTCCTCAGCCAGCTATTGGGGAGGGGGGAAATCTGGCTGGGGAATTCTGGGAGTTGAAGTCCACACATACTAAACTGAGGTTGAGAAACGCTGGGCTACAGGAAAAGGGGAGGATCTGGCCGGGGAATTCTGGGAGTTGAAGTCCACACATACTAAACTGAGGTTGAGAAACGCTGGGCTACAGGAAAAGGGGAGGATCTGGCCGGGGAATTCTGGGAGTTGAAGTCCACACATACTAAACTGAGGTTGAGAAACGCTGGGCTACAGGAAAAGGGGAGGATCTGGCCGGGGAATTCTGGGAGTTGAAATCCACACATATTAAACTGAGGCAGAGGTGAGTTCCTACCGGTTCGGACCGGTTTGGCCAAATAGGTAGTAACTTGGCCTGCCACGCCCCCGAACCGGTTCTCTCGGCAGCGCCATCTTGTTTTTTGCTTCTGTGCATGCACCGCATTGTTTTTAGCACTGCACATGCAGAGGTAGCGCGCATCAAGCATGCACATGGCACGTCCCTGAGCAAACTGGCAGTAGCAGCAACCGGAACTCACCCCTGAACAGAGGTTGAGAAAGACTGAGCTACAGGAAGAGTCTAGTTGGGGAATTCTGGTAGTGCTGCTTCTTCTGTGTCTAGATCAAACTGCCAGAAAGGAGCCACCTTCTTGGCTGTGTCTTTGGTCAAAAAAAAAACGGTACGTTTCTGGTAGTAGACAAAAGATACCAGCAGATTTCTCTGGGATTTGAATTTTGGGAGTTGAAGTCCACACATCTTAAACTTGGTGATAATTGAGATACTTTGGCCCACAGCAGGGGTGTCAAACTGGTGGCCTGCGGGCCGGGTGCGTCATCCGCAGGCCACGCCCACCCAGCTCCACGAAGGGAAAAAACATCATGAAATGTCACATGATGACAACGTGACACTGAGCGCTTTGACACCCGTGGACTACAGGAAGAGGAAAGGATCAGGGTTCAGGGAAGATTCTGCGTGGTTCAGTGAACCCCCAAATCCCACTCCTGGATGGCCCCTCTCACCCAGCCCCTCCCAGGAGTCTCCACACAGCCTGTTTTGGATGCCAGGTAAATGCAGGGCCCGTGCAGAGGCTCGGAGAGGGCGAAAAACGGGCTTTCCAGAGGCTCCGGAAGGCCGGAAATGGGCCTACTTCAGGCCTCCAGGGAGCCTCCGGAGCCTGGTGGAGGCCGTTTTCGCCCTCCCGGAGGCTTGACAAAAGCCTCCGGAGCCAGGAGAAGGTGTAAAACGGGCCTCCGGGAAATTCTGGAAGGCCGGAAACGGGCCTGTTTCCAGCCTCCAGAGCCTGGGGGAGGGCAGAAACACACACACACCGTCGTGATGCAGGAGGCTGACTAGGCCATGCCCACCCAGCAACCATTCAGAGAACCCCTTGCTAAAATGTTTGAAGCCCACCCCTGGAGAGGATCCTGCCTTTTTCAGGCTGAGGAATCTCATCGAAGTACAAAAGTGGCTGCTTTCAAATGGTGGGTTTTGGTCGTGACCCGACAAAAACGCGCACAACAAAAGCGCGCCGACAATACCGCATCGTTAAAACCGCGACGTAATCACCGCGGCGACAACAGCGTGGCGACAGAAGGGCGCTTTAAAACAGCGCGGCGACAGAAAGCCAATTTAAATTAGGGGTAGGGTTAGGGTGCTGAGCGCTTCGGAAGGCGCGGATTTGCCCTCCGCGGTTATGTCGTCGCGCTAGGGTCGCCTTTTTCCTTAGCGCTTTGGACAGAGCAGATTTGCCCTCCGCGGTTATGTCGGCGCGGAAAAGGGCTTCGCGGTTTTGTCGGTGAACCGGTTTTGGTTTCTTTGAAGGCATTACAAAATGCGTACAGCATCATGTACCAGATTGGTCCTTTCTAGGTTTAAGGATCAAAGGCACCAGGTTCATATTTATTGGAAGTTATTCAGACTTCAGCAGTTCATCCGTTAATACAGACTGCCAGAACCTGGCGCCCTCCGGTTGCAATTAATTTCAAAGGTTCCTTTTGGTGGTGCAGCCGGAGTGTTAACGACCTGCCTCAGCTGTCTTCTCAGGAAAGCATGGCTCTTGAAACAAGCGGCATTTCCAAAGGAACTTTAACCGAGAGAAAGTGATTGCAGAGAAGTCAGGCCAAGTCTGAAAATTCCCGTGCAAAGTGTTAATGCTGATTTTCTGGAATATTTCACTTTTTTGGCAGTGATTTTTTGCAATGTCTGGAAGGGGCCAAATTAGATGAATCACATTAAGAAATAGATTAATTGACTTGAGGGGACAATGAACTTGAGGGGTAGCATTGATGTAAACATTCTTTAGCATTGCATGCTACATTAATTTTTTCCCCAATCCCCCCTCCTTTTCATCTTACAAGAGAGCTGTCTTTTGAGATGATCCTTGCTAGCATTAGGGCTGTGAATACAGATTTGAAGAGTTGAGTCTAATTTGGAATATATATGGGAACTTGGTAAACTACATATTTTTCTAAGTACACAACCACTACCCTTCAATTGCCTTTCAAATCCAGTTTTCAACACAACCCACCATGCTCCATGTCTAAGAAAGGACTATTCACGGCTCAGAAATAACTTTTTTACCTATATGTCAGGCGTGTCAAAGTCAAGTTCATCAGGGTTGTGTTTGACCTTGGGGGGGCCAGGGGGGGCATGGCCAGCTCAACATCATTCGTGTCAGGAGGCGCCTGTGGTGGCCTGAGCCCTCTGCCACCGAAAACAGGCTCCCGAGCTCCGTTTTCGGCTGCGACAGCCTCCTGCAACCCTCTGGGCAGCAAAAACAGAGCTTGGGAGGGCCAGACGCAGCCCTCCCAAGCTCCATTTTTGCTGCCAGAGGTACTGCGGGCCAGTTCTTTGCGGTTTCCAGGGTGGCCCCATGGGCCAGATCCGGCCCCGGGGCCTTAAGTTTGACACCCCTGCTATATGTGCACTAAGACTGCACGGCATAATAGTACAAAATAATCACACATTAGCCTGACTGTTGAGCAAACTCACTCTATTTGGTTCATTTATGTTTCAGTAGGTTGTATAAAAAAATAGGCAATGGGGTTAATTAAGATGCTCATTTAACTAATTCTAATAATTATTTTAAGCCTGCAATGTGAAGAAATAGTGGAGAGCTATTTAGCGGCCTTCCCAGATAAGACAACATCTGGGGTTCTCAATCAGAAGGCCATTCTACCTGCTGAGCCATTTTTTACAGAATGTCCCAGTAATTCTAGTGCTAACAGTTAATAAGGCCAAGAACATCTGGAAAGCCTTTTTATGTATCTTCCTAGGGGAGAAAAAGGTTGGCTTCTTAATCTGCTTTCTAGAACTGATCTGCCCAATCTGTTATCAACTGAAGTATGTCCTACAATCTACACAACTTATAGCAGTGATGGCCAACCTTTTTTGGCTCCCGTGCCAAAAGCGAGGGGAGCGCAGGGGGGTCGTGTGAGGGTGTGCCATACCCATAATGCTATGCGTACGCCCCCCCCTGCGCATGTGCGCTACCAGCGATACACACCCCCGGCTTTTGGTGCAGTTTTTTCTCCCTCCCCAGGCTCCAGAGGCTTTCTAGGAGCCTGGGGAGAGTGAAAACAGACCCCACCCCACCCCAAGACGCCTTCCAGAGGCCTCAGGAGCTTCCCTGAAGGTTCCGGAGGGGGGAAAACAGCCTACGGGGAACCCGGAAGTTCGGGAATTATGACTTTCCGTTTGTCCGTAGGGCCAGTTGTTTGCCCGCTGGAGCCTTCAGGGAAGCTCCCAAGGCCTCCGGAAAGTATCCAGGGAGGGGAGTCTGTTTTCGCCCTCCCCAGGCTCCTAGAAAGCCTCGAGCCTGGGGAGGGCAAAACAACTGGGGTGGTGATCGCTGGTCGCGCGCATATACGTGGGGGTGGGGGTGTCGTGCACATAGCATTATGGGTATGGCGTGCCCATGCACGACCCCCCTGTGCTCCTCCTGCTTTTGACACAGGAGCCAAAAAAGGTTTGCCATCACTGCTATAGTTTGTGTAGACTGTAGGGCAGTGTTTCTTAACTGTGGCCTTCAACTCTCAGAATCCCCCAGCCAGCAGCTGGGGAATTCTGGGAGTTGAAGTCCACAGGGACTTAAAGATGCCAAGGTTGAGAAACCCTGCTGTAGGGCATACTTCAGATGATAAAAGATTGGGCAGGTCAGTTCTAGAAAGCAGATTTTTAAAAAACCAACCTTTTTCTCCACTAGGAAGATACATGAAAAGGCTTTCCAGGTATTTTTGGCCTTATTAAATGTTAGCACTGGAATTACTGGGACATTCTGTAAAAACTGGCTCAGGCCATGTGTTGTTGAGTGCACATAGTATGGTCATGTGACCTCAAACTTACCTCCCCCCCAAAAAAAACCCCTATTA